TATATATATATATATATGATATCAATAGCATTTCACAGATAATAAAGAAAAGGAATCAGTGGAGAGTCATAGTCGCTTATATCCTAAAAGAACATGGCATATAAAAAAAGTAACTACTTTAGGAGAGGGGGACGATAAAGCAATGCCTTAGGTGACCCCCCCCCCGTCGTTATATCGACACCTTTAGAGTTGTGAACTCTCAAGATGAAACTGAAACTACAGTGGTGGAAATAAGTATAAGACACCCCATGAAATTGTTAATAATTTTCTTATTACTGCATAAATTCCTCTGAAAATCTGTGTTTGGTACCTAGATCTGATGGGTATTAGTATACATATTCGATTTTATAACAACTTTCCACCAAAAACACATATTAAGAAAGTTATTAAAAGAAATACGTGGAAATAAGCATAAGACAGTTTTGAAAATTTGTATTTAACAGCAAAATTATACAAAATTCAATATTTACATTTATTCCCTTTCAATTGTAATACTCCAACACACCTGTTTTCTGAGAGTTTCAGATGGAATTTCATTCCAATACTGTATAATGCAAAATTTTCAAGTTTCTCTATCTTCAAATTGACATTTATTTTTGTATACTCTTGACAAAATTCCGCACGAATTTTCTATTGAGTTTAAATCTGGAGACTTAGTGGGCCAGTCCAAAAATTTAATATTTTTTTGTTTTAAACCAGTCTTTCGTGAGCTTAGAAGTGTGTATGGCTGTGTTGTCCTGTTGTAAAAGGGCATTATTGATGTCTAGACGATTCATAAATGGGACAAGACTTTTTCCAACACATTCATATATCGAGCAGAGTTTTGTTTTCCTTCCATTACTACTAAATCAGCCTTTCCAGATACAGAAAAAGCTCCCCAAACCATAACAGATCCTCCTTCAAATGGTCTTTTTGAAAGCAGCTTCTTCTCCTTTCTTAAATCATGCCAATAACAGTAGTAGCTGTCGGACCCATCCAAATTTCCACGGTTTCTCATTTCTCCTTCGTCCATGTTACTTTTTTCTTTACCCAGTCTACGCGCATCTTCTTGTGTTTAGCAATTAAAGCAGGAGCTGTCTTCCTGCTTCGACACATGAGATTTGGCGATTCATGGAGAAGTTGACAAACTCTTCTTGGAGTGATGGGTAAATTATGAGATTTTTGCAGATCTTTTGAGCTTGATTGTCCTTTAGAAGCTTCTCGAAAAAGTCGACGTCTAGCTGCATTTGTAATTTTAGGTGGACGACTTGGACGTTTTCTGGTGCCATATGATTCAGGGTCCTTTAGATAATTTCTTACAATTGTTCGGGATCTTGAGAATTCTCTTGCAATGAAACTTATAGATTTTCCTTCCAGTTTATAGGCAGCAGAAATTTCCTCTTTTTCATCTACATTAAGTGGCGAGTTCCTAGGCATTTTGCAGTAATTGTATTCAATTATGAAATGTTTAAATAGAATTCATGTGGCTTAAAATCATGATAAGAGTTTTTTTTTTATAATCTGCGCATGCACTTATTCTTACTTTGACATTCTGATGTAAACCAGATATGCAAATTTTCAAAACTGTCTTATAATTATCTCCACCCTCGAAAACGAAGTTTTGTTAATAACGTTGTTTTTGGTGGAAAGTTGTTATAAAATCGAATATGTATACTATTACCCATTGGATCTTGGTACCACACACAGATTTTCAGAGGAATTTGTGCAGTAATAAGAAGATTATTAACAATTTCATGGGGTGTCTTAAACTTATTTCCACCACTGCATATGTGCAAAGTTGAGGAACCAGGTATCTGTTCTTATTCAATATTTCTGTTCCCTCCTTCCCGGACAACTCAAGGTTACCCAGACACTTCTAACCCTGGCATTAAAATTGCCTACAAGATGATTTTATCAGTCCCAGGAAAAGGGTAAAGGAGATCTCGCAAGGCATCGAAGAACGGGCACTCTCTACCTTACCTCCTATATATATATATATATATATATATATATATATATATATATATATATATATATATATATATATATATATATATATATATATATATATATATATATATATATATATATATATATATATATATATATATATTTATCACACACACATACACACAAACACACAGACACATATAAATATATATATATATATAATGTCGTTAACAAAGTTCGACTATAAATATGGTTTCGGATGCAGTGCAAATGAATCTAATTTATTCCTTTTTATGTGACCTTCTGTTCCTCTCATTTCTTCATCATTTCCCAAGACAAATTATAACGACGCTAAAAGTAATATCGTAAATGGCTGCACTAATAAACCTGGACGTCTTTTATTTTCAAACTTAGATGTTATTCGGCACATCTCAATAAATTGATGTATACATTGTCGTCAACCCGTGTAAAAGATTGATTCGCCAAACACTGATCATGTACAATTATTTCAAGTAACTTTTCTTCTAGAAACGTCTAGATGAACGCTTCATAGGTAATTATACGATGCGTTCTTTATGAAGAGAAGCTGAACTTTGGCATCCCATTTCGGGGCTTGTAATTGTGTTGATGACGTTTTAAAAATCGCAAGGGAAGAACGTGAGTAAATCACAAATACTTCAGAAGCGTGTTTCGATTGCTAAGATGTTTTAAAGAGAGATAGATAGATAAATAGTTAGATAGGTAGAGGCTGAGATAGATAGACAGATATATATATATATATATATATATATATATATATATATATATATATAGATAGATAGATAGATAGATAGGAATAGAGTGTGACTGAAAGAGATACGAACAGACATAGAAATGTATATGATATGATAGATATGAATAGAGTGAGATTGAGAGAGATATAAACAGACTGAGATAGATAGATAGATAGATAGATAGATAGATAGATAGATAGATAGATAGATTGATAGATAGATAGATAGGAGCAGGCTGAGATTGATAGATAAGAATAGAATGTGATTGAGAAATATGATAGATACAAGCAAAGATAGATAGATATGATGAGATTGTGATGGATAGAGAGATATGAACAGACTGAAATAGATAGATAAGATAGAGAGATATGAACAGGCTGATATAGATAGATAGATATGATCACACTTAGATATAAAAAGACTGATTTAGATAGATAGATAGATAGATAGATAGATAGATGAGAGAATGAACATTGTAAGCAATTCATAGAGAACACAAAGGAAGATGGGTGCTCAAGGATTCTAACCTATAGACAGGCTTAATGGAGAAGCATGTAACTTTACACCTGCGTCCGATTGCCACCCAAGGCTATAAGAACGAGTCTGTCCTAATTTACTTATAAACCGGCGGCGATTAGATGGATTTTAACACCGAGTGAAATGACCATCTTTTGTTTCAGCTTACGTGAGGTGGGGGACCAATTTACAATGAATTTAAATAGCAAACCGTACCCCTTGTTTTATTCCATTTAATAATGTGTTGTTTTCTTCCCTTTTTAATACTAGAATGATGCTAGAATGTTTAAAACCTCACAGTATTTAGTATTGTTGAAGTTATTGCTAACATTTACAAACTTTCCGTATCCTTCAATTTCGCAAAACAATCGATGAAATTTGGATAAGCTGATTTGTTTCGAAAAATACTTTGACAAAAACCCTATTTCGCGGTTTAACAATTTCTTTGATTTAATTTTATCGAACTTCATGGTACACAACATTTTTCAAGAAAATCTATTTTTTTCCTTTTTAACAGAGAAAAATAAATTCTTAAAATTTCATACACTTGAGCATGCAACATACAACTGGCCTTGCGTAAATATTTCTTTCTGGAGACCAAATTCCAATATTTTGCAGAGTCTGGCCTCGTGATTTGTTTATAGTTCTCACAAACGCAAGGCAAACTGGAAACTGGATTCTCATATATATAAAAAGTTAAAGAAAAGATATGCAAAAAACAATATTGCATTTTTATTAAATAACTATTTGTTATTTTAATCATTGAATTGTTTTTAGAATAGTGGGAGTATTTTGGATTTTAAATAATACAACTTTTAATTTCTTCAAAAGAATTAAAGAAAATGTATTGTACTAAGTTACGCACCTTAGTAAAACCAACAGTACTTTGTAGCCCCTTTACCTGCTTGCACTCTTCTCCCCAAAATTTGGATTTGGTTGGTCAATGTATGGCTATTTTAGAGGGTGTGAAAAACAGATGGATTAACAGAAATCACAGAATTTAATATGTATATTCGTGCTTTGGGCTTCTTAATCTCTAATAATATGAGAACAAATATGGAGAAAATTAGTTGTGGTCGCAATGCCACTCGTCTTACTCTCCTCTCAAAATTCTACTACTCTCACTATTTTGTATCCGCTTCAAAATATAAACTCTTGGAATAGGCACCCTATTTGCTGAAATAAAAAAAGTATATATTCTAGCGGTCTTTGATTTCAAAATCAGCATTGGGATGCACATTTCGAATGAGTTGCAAGGTAAATTATTATTACAGATGTACGGGATATGAAAACCACCATGCCAATATGGCGTAACATCAGACAGGTTTCAGGGAAAAGAGAGAGAAGAAGAAAGAAAAAAGTTTCTCGGGTCAAAGAAAAACCAGATTGCTTCATTTTGCTCTCGGTTTGAAAAGGGAAAAAAAAGAACCCGTAAGGGACTGTTGCATGTCAAACACTGGCGCCTGTCTGGGAGTGTTTTGACTTTCATGTCCACCAAATGGACCGCTCCCAGACTCAAAATGCCAAGGCGTGTACAAATATATTTGCCTGCTGAGTCGTTTGAAGTTCCAATTCTTACCTAACTTATAAAATGTACAATAATCATGTAATATTGTGCAAAGCTACGTTCTTCAATACAAAACGTATATATCTGCCTCTCTCTCTCTCCCCCGCTCATTCCCTTTCTCCTTCTCTCTCTTCCACCTTCTATCTCTTTTCCTCGCTCACCTTTTTTCTGTCTCATATTACTTTATCCCTTTCTACTGCTTACAGCACCATCAGGTTGAAACATCGGTTCCCATGGGATAACTGCAGTTAAGCCATTTCGAGTCTGGTCAGTAGTTAGATGGGTGACCACTTGGGAAAACCCGGAGCTGGAAGCTTCGATGTGCGGGTGGTGTAATGGATAATAACTTGGAATTGTTAATCGGAGATCCGAGTTCAAATCTCCGTTGCATTACTTATATTTGATTACGCGCAAAAAAGCCTCTTTCGAAAAGTAAGACTTCAAATGTTCTCTCCCGAGCTATGGGTTAATTAGTAAAACATGTATCACTAAACTATTATTGTCCAAAAAAAATCTTAAAATCTAAAAATAATTCTGTGTTTAAATAACCTGCAAAGGTTGATAAACCTTAGAAAACGAATACATTTATATTGTATTCATTGCCAGGTCAGCTGCCAAGAAAGTAGGTTCACCGTTTCGTGCGAAATATTCTTTCCTCCAGAATCTATCTTACATATCTATAAGACTACCAAGCTTAGAATATTGCTGCCATATTTGGTCTGGTGTTTCTGCTATATATTTAGAGATTCTTGATAAAATCCAAAGAAGAATCTATCTTACATATTTATAAGTCTACCATTCATCCTTGCTTTGAATATTGCTACCACATCTGGTCTGGTGCATCTGCTATATATTTAGAGATTCTTGATAAAATCTAAAGAGGAATCTATCTTACATATTTATAAGTCTACCATTCATCCTTGTTTTGAATATTGCTCCCACATCTGGTCTGGTGCATCTGCTATATATTTAGAGATTCTTGATAAAATCTAAAGAGGAATCAGCAATATTATTGGTTTTGATTTGGCAGATCGGCTTCCGTCAATTTCCCCCCGCCGTGAAGTTGCTTCCCTGTGCCTTTTCTAGAAATACTTTCATGGTAATTGTTTGAATGAACGCTTCATTCTGGTGACTAGGCTTTATGAATATAAGAGCAGTACTAGATTGGCGGCAAGGTCTCATCAATCTTACATATCTATAAGTCTACCATGCTTAGAATATTGCTGCCATATTTGGTCTGGTGCTTCTGCTATATATTTAGAGATTCTTGATAAAATTCAAAGAAGAATCTATCTTCCATATTTATAAGTCTACCATTCATCCTTGCTTTGAATATTGCTGTCACATCTCGTCTGGTGCTTCTGCTATATATTTAGAGATTTTTGATAAAATTCAAAGAAGAATCTATCTTACATATTTATAAGTCTACCATTCATCCTTGCTTTGAATATTGCTGCCACATCTCGTCTGGTGCTTCTGCTATATATTTAGAGATTCTTGATAAAATTCAAAGAAGAATCTATCTTCCATATTCATAAGTCTACCATTCATCCTTGCTTTGAATATTGCTGTCACATCTCGTCTGGTGCTTCTGCTATATATTTATAGATTCTTGATAAAATTCAAAGAAGAATCTATCTTCCATATTTATAAGTCTACCATTCATCCTTGCTTTGAATATTGCTGTCACATCTCGTCTGGTGCTTCTGCTATATATTTAGAGATTCTTGATAAAATTCAAAGAAGAATCTATCTTACATATTTATAAGTCTACCATTCATCCTTGCTTTGAATATTGCTGCCACATCTGGTCTGGGGCTTCTGCTTTATATTTGGAGATTCTTGATAAAATCCAAAGAAGAATCTATCTTACATATTTATAAGTCTACCATTCATCCTTACTTTGAATATTGCTGCCACATCTGGTCTGGAGCTTCTGCTATATATTTAGAGATTCTTGATAAAATCCAAAGACGAATCTATCTTACATATTCATAAGTCTACCATTCATCCTTGCTTTGAATATTGATGCCACATCTGGTCTTGGGCTTCTGCTATATATTTAGAGATTCTTGATAAAATCCAAAGAAGAATCTATCTTACATATTTATAAGTCTACCATTCATCCTTACTTTGAATATTGCTGCCACATCTGGTCTGGGGCTTCTGCTATATATTTAGAGATTCTTGATAAAATCCAAAGACGAATCTATCTTACATATTTATAAGTCTACCATTCATCCTTACTTTGAATATTGCTGCCACATCTGGTCTGGGGCTTCTGCTATATATTTAGAGATTCTTGATAAAATCCAAAGACGAATCTATCTTACATATTTATAAGTCTACCATTCATCCTTACTTTGAATATTGCTGCCACATCTGGTCTGGGTGCTTCTGCTATATATTTAGAGATTCTTGATAAAATCCAAAGAAGAATCTAATTTCTAATCTTACTTTGAATATTGCTGCCACATCTGGTCTGGTGCTTTTGCTATATATTTATAAAATCCAAAGAAGAATCTATCCATATTTATTCATCCTTACTTTGAATATTGCTGCCACATCTGGTCTGTTGCATCTGCTATATATTTAGAGATTCTTGATAAAATCCAAAGAAGAATCTATCTTACATATTTATAAGTCTACCATTCATCCTTACTTTGAATATTGATGCCACATCTGGTCTGGGGCTTCTGCTATATATTTAGAGATTCTTGATAAAATTCAAAGAAGAATCTATCTTCCATATTTATAAGTCTACCATTCATCCTTGCTTTGAATATTGCTGCCACATCTCGTCTGGTGCTTCTGCTATATATTGAGAGATTCTTGATAAAATTCAAAGAAGAATCTATCTTACATATTTATAAGTCTACCATTCATCCTTGCTTTGAATATTGCTGCCACATCTGGTCTGGTGCTCCTGCTATATATTTAGAGATTCTTGATAAAATCCAAAGAAGTATCTATCTTACATATTTATAAGTCTACCATTCATCCTTGCTTTGAATATTGCTGCCACATCTGGTCTTGGGCTTCTGCTATATATTTAGAGATTCTTGATAAAATCCAAAGAAGAATCTATCTTACATATTTATAAGTCTACCATTCATCCTTACTTTGAATATTGCTGCCACATCTGGTCTGGGGCTTCTGCTATATATTTAGAGATTCTTGATAAAATCCAAAGAAGAATCTATCTTACATATTTATAAGTCTACCATTCATCCTTGCTTTGAATATTGCTGCCACATCTGGTCTGGGGCTTCTGCTATATATTTAGAGATTCTTGATAAAATCCAAAGACGAATCTATCTTACATATTTATAAGTCTACCATTCATCCTTGCTTTGAATATTGCTGTCACATCTCGTCTGGTGCTTCTGCTAAATATTTAGAGATTCTTGATAAAATTCAAAGAAGAATCTATCTTACATATTTATAAGTCTACCATTCATCCTTACTTTGAATATTGCTGCCACATCTGGTCTGGTGCTTTGCTATATATTTAGAGATTCTTGATAAAATCCAAAGAAGAATCTATCTTACATATTTATAAGTCTACCATTCATCCTTGCTTTGAATATTGCTGTCACATCTGGTCTGGTACTTTTGCTATATATTTAGAGATTCTTGATAAAATCCAAAGAAAATCTATCTTACATATTTATAAGAATCTTTGAATATTCTGCCACATCTCGTCTGGTGCTTCTACCATTATTTAGAGATTCTTGATAAAAATCCAAAGAAGAATCTATCTTGAATATTTATAAGTCTACCATTCATCCTTCTTTGAATATTGCTGCCACATCTGGTCTGGTGCTTTTGCTATATATTTAGAGATTCTTGATAAAATTCAAAGAAGAATCTATCTTACATATTTATAAGTCTACCATTCATCCTTGCTTTGAATATTGCTGCCACATCTGGTCTGGTGGTCTGGGGCTTCTGCTATATATTTAGAGATTCTTGATAAAATCCAAAGAAGAATCTATCTTACATATTTATAAGTCTACCATTCATCCTTGCTTTGAATATTGCTGCCACATCTGGTCCTGTGCTTTTTCTATATATTTAGAGATTCTTGATAAAATCCAAAGAAGAATCTATCTTACATATTTATAAGTCTACCATTCTTTCTTACTTTGAATATTGCTGTCACATCTGGCCTGGTACTTTTGCTATATATTTAGAGATTCTTGATAAAATCCAAAGAAGAATCTATCTTACATATTTATAAGTCTACCATTCATCCTTGCTTTGAATATTGCTGCCACATCTGGTCTGGTGCTTCTGCTATATATTTAGAGATTCTTGATAAAATCCAAAGAAGAATCTATCTTACATATTTATAAGTCTACCATTCATCCTTACTTTGAATATTGCTGCCACATCTGGTCTCTATCTTGCTTCTGCTATATATTTAGAGATTCTTGATAAAATCCAAAGAAGAATCTATCTTACATATTTATAAGTCTACCATTCATCCTTACTTTGAATATTGCTGCCACATCTGGTCTGGGGCTTCTGCTATATATTTAGAGATTCTTGATAAAATCCAAAGAAGAATCTATCTTACATATTTATAAGTCTACCATTCATCCTTACTTTGAATATTGCTGCCACATCTGGTCTGGTGCTTTTGCTATATCTTTAGAGATTCTTGATAAAATCCAAAGAAGAATCTATCTTACATATTTATAAGTCTACCATTCATCCTTACTTTGAATATTGCTGCCACATCTGGTCTGGTGCTTCTGCTATATATTTAGAGATTCTTGATAAAATCCAAAGAAGAATCTATCTTACATATTTATAAGTCTACCATTCATCCTTACTTTGAATATTGCTGCCACATCTGGTCTGGTGCTTTTGCTATATATTTAGAGATTCTTGATAAAATCCAAAGAAGAATCTATCTTACATATTTATAAGTCTACCATTGATCCTTGCTTTGAATATTGCTGCCATATCTGGTCTGGTGCTTCTGCTATATATTTAGAGATTCTTGATAAAATCCAAAGAAGAATCTATCTTACATATTTATAAGGCTACCATTCATCCTTACTTTGAATATTGCTGCCACATCTGGTCTGGTGCTTTTGCTATATATTTAGAGATTCTTGATAAAATCCAAAGAAGAATCTATCTTACATATTTATAAGTCTACCATTCATCCTTACTTTGAATATTGCTGCCACATCTGGTCTGGTTGCTTTTGCTATATATTTAGAGATTCTTGATAAAATCAAAGAAGAATCTATCTTACATATTTATAAGTCTACCATTCATCCTTGCTTTGAATATTGC